AATCCCCTTTTGACCCCCCCCCACTCCACATTCATCTCTCGCGGGGGCACCTGGCCTTGGTGACAGCATCGCCGACGTGAAAGACGCGGCGAGGAAAAGAGGGTGAAAGGGATCAATTTGGAGATACGAAAAAAGGAGCCCTCACAGAATTGAGGCGGTTTTATCGTCGTTTGGTGCTGGGCTTAGCTTTGCAATGATCTCTCATCCCAATATACCCCCCCAACCCTAATATCGTTTTCATGCGTTGCGTGTGACCTTAATTAACGTGACGATCGCGAAACAGCAATGTCAGGGGCATGTGCCCCAGAGGCCATGGGTGAAGGACAACGGTGCCCTAAAAGACCTTCCATGAAGGAAGAGGGAACACAATCGATCAGGCAAGAGCAGATCACCACCGATAGGGCGCTCTGTGCAGAGTAGGGTGTACGGACACAGCAGGTGGACGGCGGAAAAAATTGAGGGCTGCGATCATCAACATTTCCTGGCTCTGAATATATTGGATGATGGATACGGCAGGTAGATGGAGGGAGCAGGGTGTGGGAGCAGGGTGTGTGAATCACACGGAGTAAGAGAAAAACCAACGCGCACATGCACACACTCGCGCATTGCGCGCAGTGGTTCAATGCGCATTCGAGGGGAGCTAGTCTTACCTTTGACTTGTTCAAATCCGCCGGAATATGAAAAACATCCACAGTCGTTGTCGATTGAGTTAAGGGCCGAGCCCGATGGAGTTGTAGACATTCGAGAGGGTTGGCATGAAACGGTCCCCTCAGACTCAGACAATTGGTGCCGACATCGTGCAGGAATACGCCGCAAACGTGTTGGAACATGTAAAACCTTTGCCTAGCGTACATGTACACGTAGGCGAAGCAAACGAAAGCTGGTGGTGAGCGCTTATCCACTCTCTCAGAACCTCCCGCGCACAGAACACGCCTCGGTAAAACAGAACGCCTCTATTAGCTCACTAAGCTCACTGTCCTACCATTCTCCGAAAAAAAGAAGGTGTGCGTCCTACCCGTCACAAACTGTGAACGCTGATATAGAGTGAAGAAAAAACATCAATACATACATGCCCCTCCCCTCTCCCCAACCCCGCGCCTCCCGTCCCCGTCCCTGCAAAGCGTTGATCTAGAGAAATAGAACAACGTG